GTTGTTATTTCGCCTCTATCATTTCTGATTTTGTTTATTTTGAGTCCTCTCTCTTTGATTTTTGGTGAGCCTGGCTAGAGGTTCATTAATCTCATTTATCCTTTCAAAGAACCAGTTCTTGGTTTCATTGATCTTTTGTATTGTTTTTTTGGTCTCTATGTCATTTATTTCTGCTCTAAGCTTTATTATCTCCTTCCTTCTGCTCACTCTGGGCTTTTCTTGTTGCTCTCTTTCTAATTCTTTGAGTTATAGAGTTAGATGATTTACTACCATTTTTTCTTATTTTTTGATGTAGGCCTGTAGAGCTATAAACCTCCCTCTCAGGACTGCTTTCATTGCGTCCCATAGGTTTTGGATTGTTGTGTTTTCATTGTCACTAGTTTCCAGGATGTTTTTAATTTCTTCTTTGATCTCATTGGTAACCTAATCAATATTTAATATCATGCTATTCAGCTTCCAAGTGTTTGAGTGTTTTGGATTGTTTTATTGTAGTTTATTTCTACTATTATGCCATTGTGGTCTGAGAAGATGCTTGGTATGATTTCAATCTTCTTGAATTTGGGGAGACTTCGCTTGTGACTGAGTATGTGTTCTATTTTTGAAAATGTCCCATGTGCACTTGAGAAGAATGTATATTCCGTGGCTTTGGGGTGAAATGTTCTGAAGATGCCAATGAAGTCCATATGATCTAGTGAGTCATTTAGGATTGCTGTTTCTTTGCTGATTTTTGTATAGAGTATTTATTCAGTGATGTCAGTGGTGTATTAAAGTCCCCTACTATGATTGTATTGTTGTGAATCTCTCCCTTGATATCTCCCAGGAGTTCTTTATGTATTTGGGCACTCCTGCATTGGGTGCATATATGTTTATCAGGATTATATCCTCTTGTTGTATCGATCCCTTTAGTATTATGAAGTGGCCTTCCTTATCTCTTGCTATGGCCTTCACTTTGAGGTCAATTTTTCAGATATAAGTATTGCTACCCCAGCTTTTTTTATTTCCATTTGCCTGAAAGATATTTTTCCATCCCTTCACTTTCAGTCTGTGTGAGTCCTTTGTTCTGAGGTGGGTTTCTTGTAGACAGCATTTATATGGGTCATGTTTTTTTTTTATGTATTCAGCCACTCAATGTCTTTTGATTGGAGCATTTAGTCTCTTTTTGTTTAAAGTTATTATTGGAAAGTACTTGTTTGTAGCCATTTTCATTTTTTGTGCCTGAGTTTTTTCTTACCTTTTTATTTCTTCTTTTACACCAGTCCCTTTAGCATTTCTTGCATTGCAGGTTTGGTACTGATATACTCCCTTAGCCATTTTTTGTCTGTGAAGCTCCTTATTTCCCCTTCAATTTTGAATGATAGCCTTGCTGGATAGAGTATTCTTGCACTCATTCCCTTGCTTTGCATCACTTTGTAAATTTCCTTCCATTCTTTTCTGGCCTGATGTGTTTCTGTTGAGAAATCATTTGATAATCTAATGGGAGATCCCTTGTATGTAACTTTCTGTCTCTCTCTCTCTCTCTCTCTCTCTCTCTCTCTCTCTCTCTCTCGCAACCTTTAAGATTCTCTCTTTGTCCTGAATATTTGCCACAGTAATTATGATGTGTCTTGGTGTGGGTCTTTTCAGGTTCATCTTATTTGGTACTCTCTGTGTTTGTGTGACTTTTTTCTTCCCCATATCAGGGAAGTTTTCGGACAATATTTCTTCAAATAGGTTTTATAACCCTTGTTCCTCTTCCTGTTATCTGGCACCCTTATTATTCATAGGTTGCTTCATTTCATGTGGTCTCATAGCTCCCTTTGGCTCAACATAAGATGATAAACCATAAAAATACTAGAGGAATCCACAGGCAGCAGAATAACAGACATATGCCAAAGCAATTTCTTCACTAATACTGCTCTTAGGGCATTGGAAACTAAAGAGAAAATAAACAAATGGGACTACATCAAAATAAAAAGCTTCTGCACAGCAAAAGAAACCATCAACAAAACAATAAGAAAACCCACTGATGAGAGAACATATTTGCCAATGTTATCACTGATAAGGGTTTAATCTCCAACATCTATAGGGAACTCATACAACTAAACAAAAGGAAGATAAACAACCCAATCAAAAAAATGGGCAAAGGACCTAAACAGAAACTTTTCAAAAGAAGACAGAAGGAAGGCCAAGAGACATATGAAAACATGCTCAAAGTCACTAATCATCCAAGAGATGCAAATCAAAACAACAATGCGGTACCATCTCTCTTCTGTCAGAATGGCTATCATCAACAAATCAACAAATGACAAATGCTGGTGAGGATGTGGAGAAAGGGGAACCCTTGTGCAAAGCTGGTGGGAATGCAGACTGGTGCAGCCACTGTGGAGAACAGCATGGAGTTTCCTCAAAATACTAAAAATGGAACACCCATTTGACCCAGTGATCCCACTTCTAGGAATATATACCAAGAAGCTAGAAACACCAATCAGAAAGGATATATGCACCCCTATGTTCATAGTAGCACAATTCACCACAGCTAAGATTTGGAAACAGCCTAAGTGCCCATCAGTAGATGAGTGGATTAAAAAACTTGGTACATCTGCACAATGGAATACTATGCTGCGGGAAAAAAGAAGGAATTCTTACCATTTGCAGCAGCATGGATGGATCTGGAGAGCATTATGCTAAGTGAAGTAAGCCGGTTAGAGAGAGACAAATATCACATGATCTCACTCATTTATGGAATATAATGAACAACATAAACTAATTAACAAAAACAGATCCAGAGACAGAGAAGCATCGATCAGACTGTCAAACCCAAGAGGGAAGGTAGGGGAGAATGGGGGTAAGGGGAAAAGATCAACCAAAGGACTTGTATGCATGCATATAGGCCTAACCAATGGACACAGACAACAGGGGGGTGAGGGTATGAGTTGTGGAGGTCGGGGGCGGGGGGGTTATGGTGGGATAAAGACACATATGTAATACCTTAATCAATAAAGAAATTTTAAAAAAGAAAAAATAAATGAAATGGGCTTTATCAAAATTTAATGCACCTATTTATTAAAGTAAAAGACTATGAAGAAAGTGAAAAGAATCTATAGGATGGGAAAACATATTATCAAATCACATGTCTCATAAGGGTTCTCTAGCAAATATATAAAGAACACTTAAAAAGAAACAGCAAAAAGCCAAACAACCCAATTAAAAAATAGGCAAAGGACTTGAACAGACATTTCTCAAAAAGATACACAAATGTTCAATAATCACATGAAAAGATATTAAATATCACTAGTCATTAGGGAAATGCAATCACAACCTTAACGAGATGTCACCTGACACACTAGAAAGGCTTTAATAAAACCAAAACAAAATGGAAGTAACACATTTTGCCGAGGATGTGAAGGTTGGCACCCTTGCACATTCCTTGGGGTAGGGAGTATATGTACAATGGTGCAGCCATTTTGGAAAAATAGTTTGGTGATTTCTAAATGTTGGTCATATAATTAGCATATCACTCAGCAATTCCACTCCTACATATGGACTTAAAGAACTGAAATAGTTATTCAAAAAGAAACTTGCACACCAATATCATAGTAACTCTATTCACAATAGTCAAAGGGTGGCAAAAATCCAATGTCCATAAATGGATGAATGGATAAACAAAAGGTGGTGTATACATGCAATGGAATAGTATTCAACCGTATGATATATGCTACCACGTGGATGACTTTGAAAACAGTATGCTAGGTGAAAGAAGCCAGACTATAAGGTCATGTATTGTATGATTCTATTTATATGAAATATACAGAATCAACTAATTCATAGAGACAGAAAACAGATAAATGCTTGCCAAGGGCTGGGGGTGGGGCAGGAACGGGAATGAGAAGTAACTGCTTAGTGGGTACAGTGTTCACTTCTGGGATGATGAAAATACTTTAGAAATAGAGGTGAAGGCCTGGCCAGTATGGCTCAGTGGTTGAGCATCAACCCATGAACCAGGAGGTCACAGTTAGATTCTGGATCAGGGCTCTGGATCAGGGCACATGCCCAACTTTCTGGCTCAATCCCCAGTAAGGGATATGCAGGAGGCAGCTACTTTAAATATATATATATACACACACACACACACACACACACACACACATATATAAATAATTATTATTGATAGTATTACAGATATCTCCCATTTCCCCTTCCTTTATCCCCCTCATCCCAGACCATACCCCCACCCTCCAATTTTCACTACCCTATTGCCCGTGTCCATGGGCTATGAATATACTTATATTTTTTCTTTATCTCATTAAAAAAAATAAAGAAATAGAGGTGATAATTGTAAAACTCTTTGAATGTATGAAATGCCACTGAATTGTATACTTTGATTAAAATAGTGGATTTTATGTTATGTGAAATTTCTTCAATAAAACAAATTATTTAAATATCAGATAATATTGCATTCCTCCAAATTTAATAATTTTTTGAAGCCATTTCTGTTTTATCTTAAATTATTTAGTATAATTACTAGAGGCCCAGTGCATGAAATTGGTGCCCTGGAGGGGGGAGGTTTCCTTCAGCCCTGACCTGTGCCCTCTTGCAGTCCAGAAGCCCTTGAAGGTATATCTGACTGATGGCTAAACTGGCAGTTGAAGTGCTCACCAGCCATAAGCCTGGCTTCTGGCTGAGTGGTGCTCCCCCTGTGGACACGCACTGACGCCCAGGGGGCAGCTCCTGAGTTGAGTGTCTTCCCCCTGGTGATCAGTGCATGTCATAGTTGTTCTGCCGTTTGGTCTATTTGCATATTAGCCTTTTATTATATAGGATTTAATTGGCTAATAATTAATATTACAATGAAACTGTTTAGTATTGATAATTTTTTTCATTTACTTTTCATCTTTTATCTTAATATGTTTATGAGATTAACAGGGAGGTACAAGTGTGATCACTTAGCTCTAGTGCGATGGGAAGAGGAATGAGGTGAGGAGCAGGCAGAGCAGAGCCTGGGGGCAGGCGGGGTTACTTGCCTGTTCCTGCAGCTGTCCTGAAGGTCAGTGGCCCATTGGGCAAGGCCTTGCTCATCTCTCTCAGGACGTGCTCCCGGCCAGTGAGCAGGTTAGTGGCCACACAGTGCTGCTCTGAATGGGGCAGAGTATCCAGGTCCCCTTTGGTCTCCAGCAGATTATCCACCTCCTGTATGATGTCCTGGGGGGTTGGGGACACAGAGCCAGTGGATCTTGCGCCAGAGAAGCTTCAGGAAGACCCTGCCCACTCAGCTTCTAATAACAAACCCAAAAGCCTGTCTATTTGGGAATAAAGGTGGTACCCAATGGTATTCCCTGGGTCTTTGCTAGTGAAATCCCCACTCAGAGGTCAAACCCTGGTCATGACTACCAAGGACAATGCAAGATCAGTGGCCAGAACAAGAGGAAAGGTGTTAATAGGTGTATGTGGTTCTAACAGTGAGTACAAATACTTGGTCTGCTCTTCCCACCCACCCTTGGACAGCGAGGCCACAGAGCAGGGCGCCATTGTGTTGGGGTCAGTCTCCTTCCAGAACAAAGCTTCCTTGAGACTCTATGGGATGCCTCCACCTGCCTCCCCTGGGTCCTGTCCTTACCTGGATGGTGTCCTGGGCCGAGGCAGACTTGAAGTTTCTGAGCAGGTCCTGGACTCTTTCAAAGAAGCGGGAGAGACTCTGGGGAAAGAGGAGATGAGGCCTTAGTGGGTCTCATATATGGGTGGGGGAGCGTGAGGAAATGGGTGGATGGTGAGCTCAGTGGAGGGACCTTGCCTTCTGTTCCCGGCTGGAGTCACTCACCTGGCTCTTGATTCCAGGGGGCGGGGTCCAGGTGGGGAAGAAGATCTCTGCAGGGGACAGTGCAGCTGTCAACTAGGTGTGTGTGTGTGTGTGTGTGTGTGTGTGTGTGTGTTGGAGGCAGGGTCAGGCCCTACTTTCACACTGAGTAGTCTTTTGTTTATTCAGGAATCAGGGCCCCTCTCCTCTCCGTGCTCCACCCCTTCCCGTGTTCAGTCCCCCTCCTCCCATGCCTTTGCTGGAGGTGATGACACCTGCAGACTGCACATCCCTGAGTGGCAGACGCAGGGGTTATGGGAAGTGTGCAGAGGCCTGACCCACAGCAGGTAAGCCCCACACAGAGGTACAGGTTGTGAGCTATTAGGTAACTTTATCCCAGTTAGTACTTAGCTGCTGCCTGAGGTCCCCCAGGAGCCTTTCCCTTAGTAACCCAGCTCCTTCTGCAGGATCCTCAGATCTTTTCCCATTTAGTCTCAAAGAATGGAAGCCTGGCCCAGCAGGGCACCCCCAGCATTCATTGTGCTGGGTTCGTGTGGGTGCCCATGAATATGTGATCAGGTGGCTTGAGCTGTGGGTCTTTGGGAATGTGGGATCTGAACTCTGAACCTTCACAGATGGTGTTGTGTGGGCCATTGGGGGACCCAGGAATCGGCTTCCAGCCAGAGCGACAGCGACACTTATAGCTGCCATTGGTGTTGATGCATTGGGTTGAATTGTGGCAGATATGTTCTCCTGAGGTACATTCATTCACATCTGAGGACAAAGCCAGAGCGTCAGGCCCTCCCTCTACTCCTTGCTCCCATCCTTCCTGCCCCTTCTCTCAAATCCCTTAGCAGTTCACCCCAAGGACACCCCACTATGCCCCGCTTACCAGCTACCTAGACTGACTGGATACAAACTTGTGGTGACATTTTCCACTGTAAAAGCACCATAAGCTCAGAGCGCCCCTGCAAGGTGGAGAGGGCAGGACTATGCTTGTGCAAGTGTCATCCCAAAGCTGTGCCCCCACCTGTAGGGCAGGATGGACTGGGGGACTTCTAACCAGGGAGGCTGCCACACTGATAGCTACCATGCGCGGAGGCTGTGGGCTGTAGCACCGATGCGCCCAGAGCTGCAATCTTGCCCTTATTAGAACAGAATCCGAGCCCTAGCCGGTTTGGTTCAGTGGATAGAACGTTGTTCTGCAGACTGAAGGGTCCTAGGTTTGATTCCGGTCAAGGGCACATGCCCGGGTTGCGGGCTCGATCCCAGTAGGGGGTGTGCAGGAGGCAGCCAATCCATGATTCTCTCTCATCATTGATGTTTCTCTCTCTCTCCCTCTCCCTTCCTCTCTGAAATCAATAAAAATATATTTTTAAAAAAAGAACAGAATCTGAAGCTCAGCCCTGCCTTTCCCAGGTCCCCCTCTCCTCACTGCCTGCACTGGGCACACACCGTTTCTGAAAGTGCTGCCCCTTCTCTGCCAAAGCACCTTATGGCAGCTGCCTTTCAGATGGCTCAGCAAAGTAAAGAAGAAGTGGGTCATTTATGAGATCTGAACTCCAAACCTTCACAGACGATGTTGTTCAGGCCATTGGGGGACCCAGGAATCGGCTTCCAGCCAGGGCGGCAGCGGCACGTATAGCTGCCCACATTGTTGAGGCAGTGGGTGGTTTTGTGGCAGGGTTTTCGTCCTGAGGTACATTCATCCACATCTGAGGACAAAGCCAGAGTGTCAGGCCCTCTCCGCACCCACTTCTCATTGCCTGAGGATCCCACCATCAGTACACATGCCACCACCTGGTGACCTTCAACTTCACCCTCAAAGCACATTACAGTGGCCTCCTACAAGACGGACATGACAGGGACCATAGTCTCCAATTTATAGGTTGCAAATCCAGGAGGGAAACTGAGTCATGAGGGTTGAACTTCCTGAACAAGGACTGCTGCCTATTCCCTCCTGACTGCTGAACCAGGTCTCCTTCTGGGAACCAGAAGTCACAGCTCTGGCCTAACTCACATGGGAATTGTTATCACATCCTGCCAGTATAGGGGGTGCCTTCAGGGGTTCAGAAGAGGCATTTTCACCACCCCAAGGAAAGTTGAGGAAAGGGAAGGGTCTGGGGGTGCTCACAGGGGCTCCACAAGGAAACCTCAGGCCCAGAAGGCCCTGCCACCGCCCTGCTCTGTTGCAGGACTTTTCGCGGAAGCGAATCCTTAGGCAGGGCCTTGGCAGGGAACCTGAGAATCTTCTTCTGCCTTCTGGGGCTGTGGGACCTGTGTTGGCTCGTGCCCCAGCTTCATCCAGTCCAACCTCACAGCATCCTCCTGGGGCCTCTACCTGTGCACAGCTTCGGGTCCTCCAGGTTGAACTCAAATCCTGGTGGGCATGTGCAGGTGTAGCTGCCATGGGTGTTGACACACTTGCTGCGGCTTTTACAGATTCTGGGGTTCGTCCATGTTTGAAAGGGGAAGGAGAGAGTGGTGGATGCCTGCAGCCATGGGCAGCCTTCAAGGCTGGGAGTCAGCCACGTTTCCTGGCATAGAAGCGTCTAGAAGGCCCCACTGCCTCCTTCCAGGCGAGTGATGCCTTTTCTAATTCACATGGAGGTGTCCTTTGGGTAAGCATGGTGGCCTAGATGCTCTGTTGTCCAGATGTGGACAGAAGCAGTCCAAGTCCTCCCTCTTACTCTCTCCACCAACCACCCCATCCCAATCCATCTCTGGGAAGCTCCTAGCTAGGGCAGGAACACCACTGTCACCTGTGTCCCAGCCTGAGGACTTGGGCAAAGGCCAGCCTGGGCCTCCCTAGAACCAAGTGCTGGAGAAGTGCTGCAGGCCCTGAGCAGGCTCATTTTGGTGGCCTTGGTCCTGACTCCCGCGGGGTGAGTGCTGGGGGCTGACCTCTCCTTGGAATCCTGGGACTCTGCTGAGACAGCGCTCTCCCATCCACACGACTTCTGAGACTCCAGCCCATGGAGATGGACCGAGAACCACCCTGAGCCTGACCCCTCAAGGACAAGGCTTTTAGGCCGGGCCCAGAATGTGAAAATGATGCCAGATAGGCCAGGGCCACCTGGACAGTGGGTGCCAGGCCATGAGGGCAGTGGGGCTGACATCCAGCCATGCAGTCTTGGGGTGGTGAAGGTGCCCCTTCTGATCCCCCTGAAGGCATCCCCTGGACTGGCAGGGAGTGATGAGAATCCACATGTGAGCTTGATCAGCAGTGGGCAAGGGCTGGGTGCCTGGAGCGGGGAGCAGCGGCTGATGGGTGAAGAGTGGCAGGTGTTTCTGTCATCTGGCTCCCACCAGGAACACAGACTTGTGGGCCTGGCCAAGAGGGGCTGAGCCTCTGTCTTCTGTCCCCCAGTGGTATGGGCCCCCTTGGAATCTGGGTTGATCTCAATGGGAGAGGATTGAGCCTGAGGCAATGGTCCCTGAAAATAGCTGGTTTCAGGCTCTTCTGTCTCAGCAGGGTGGGCCTGTGGACCCTGCTCAGAGCCTCCAGGATCCCTGCCTCAGCCTCCTCCTCCTCTCTCTGTATTCTGCACTAACCCCTCTATCTGAGTGAGTTGAGGCTTCTGCCTGACCACTGCTGGCTCCATCTGCCCCTGCGAATGCCTGAAGCCCCTTCCCTGCTCCCCTGGAAAGTGAGAAAAGCCTGGTGATGTGTGGAGGCCTGACTTCTCCTGGGTCTCTGGTGAGGGATGGGCTAGGCCAGCTGTTCTCTGAGCACCCACCCCTGCGGCATGGTCCCCTGGGATGTCCAACCCAGAGAGGGTGTGTGAGATCTAGAGGGGAGGCAGACCTGTTGGGCACCTCATCCCAGGGCCAGACTGGAAATACAACTAAATTAGAGATCATTCACCAGGAATTACCAACTGAGGTCCAGCTGAGGATGTGACTTATAACAAGGAAGAAAATAAACACCTGGTGACAGGTAGGAAGGGGGAGGTTGTGAAATGAGGGGAGCTGAGAGAGGAGGGAGCACTATGTTACAACAGCATACAATGGAGCAAAGATGGTCTCTTCAATAAATGGTGTTGGGAAAACTGGACAGGTACATGCAAAAAAATGAAGCTAGACCACCAACTTACACCATACACAAGAATTGACTCAAAATGGATAAAAGACTTAAATGCAAGATGTGAAACCATAAAACTCCTAGAACAGTGGTTCTCAACCTGTGGGTTGTCAACCTGTGGGTTGCGACCCCTTTGGGGATCGAACGACCCTTTCACAGGGGTTGCCTAAGACCATCGGAAAACACATATATAATTACATATTCTTTTTATGTTTAATCACTATGCTTTAATTATGTTCAATTTGTAACAATGAAAATACATCCTGCATATCAGATATTTATTTATTTTTATATATTTTATTGATTTTTTACAGAGAGGAAGGGAGAGGGATAGAGAGTCAGAAACATCGATGAGAGAGAAACACCGATCAGTTGCCTCCTGCACACTCCTCACTGGGAATGTACCCACAATCAAGGTACATGCCCTTGACCGGAATCGAACCCGGGACCCCTGAGTCCGCAGGCCGACGCTCTATCCACTGAGCCAAACCGGTTAGGGCCATATCAGATATTTACATTACACTTCATAACAGTAGCAAAATTACAGTTATGAAGTAGCAACGAAAATAATTTTATGGTTGGGGGTTACCACAACATGAGGAACTGTATTAAAGGGTCACGGCATTAGGAAGGTTGAGAACCACTGTTATATATGTTTTCCGATGGTCTTAGGCGACCCCTGAGAAAGGGTCTTTCGACCCCCACAGGGGTCGCGACCCACAGGTTGGCGACCCACAGGTTGAGAACCGCTGTTCTAGAAGAAATTATAGTCACCAAAGTCTCAGACAAAAATGAACAAAAATAGACCTAGAGACATAGAAGCATGGAACAGACTGTTGAACCTCAGAAGGAAGGCAGGTGAGGGTGGGTGGGAAGATATCAACCAATGAACTTATGCATAACCCATGGACACAGATCATGAGGTGGTGAGGGACTGGGGGGTGAAGCGGGGGTGGGCTGGTATAGGTCAATGGCAGAAAAATGGGACTTATGTAATACTTTCAACAATAAAGATAAAAAATAAAGAGAAAGAATGAGTTTAGTCTAAAAACCCAACAGCCTCCACTGTGCTGTGCTCTATGATCACATGTACTTTCCCAGCATTGTCACTCCCTTTTACTAATGGGTAAACTGGGGCACAGAGCAGTGAAGAATGTGTCCAAGGTCATACAGCTAACAAAGGCAAAGCTACATTTGTTTTCATTTGTAAAAAATAAGTGTTGTTGTTTTTTTAAACACAAAGCCACAATGATATTATCACATCTTGCATATTACTAATGATTTCTGAATAAGTGTCCTGGCTGGTGTTGTATACACAGCTGTCAGGTATCAATACCAGGACTTGGGTCCTTGGCTCTCATGCCACCCTGCCTCTCTGTGCTAGTGGGACAGGCACAGGCACACTTGTTCCACTCAGACCTCGGGGCTGCACCTATAACCAGGGCCCGGCACCCTGTATGCCACAGGAATGGCTCTGGTGACTCCAAGCGTCATGGACAGGAAGATGGAAGATGTGGGGTCATTCTTACCTTGACACGTGTTCTCACTCTCATTACTGAACTTTGCTGCCCCAGAAACAAGCCTGTATCCTGGTTTGCATGTGCAGTGGTAGCTCCCCTCCGTGTTATGGCAGTCTGCGACTCTTCCACAGGCCCTCACTGCTCTGCGTACTTCACATTCATCAATGTCTGCAACAAAACGGGATAAAGGGTCACCTCCCAAAGCCATGAGTGCCCTCAAGGCAGAGAGCCTGGTCCCACACCTAGCATGGAGCCTGATGCTCAACCAGTGTCTTTTGGGAAATAATTAGACTCAGGCAACATTGCTGTGGCTGGAGCACACCATTCCTGAAACCCACTAAATCAGCTCTGCTCTGCTCAGCTTTCTGTCTGTCTCCTGGATTTAGATACAGGAGGAGGTGCTGAAGTGGTGGGTGGGTGGAAGCTCTGCATCCCCCGCCCCAGTCTTCCCTCTGTACGAAGCCATGTTTATTCACTTCTCATTCTCTACCTTCATATCTTTTTCTTTCTCTTTTCTCTGTCCTTCATGATGGTCTGAAAACAAAGGCTGAGGCTACCAACCACCATCCCGTCTCCATGTAGCCCTCCACCACCCCAAGCCTCTGTACCTTCACAACGATCCGTGTAGCTGATGTCAATCTCCCCAGATGAAGATTTGAATCCTGGGTTACAGCGACAGGCAGTGCCATTGACACATGAGGAGTTTGCAGGGCATCGCCGGGGACAGGCAGAGGCTGTGGGACGGAGACCATGGTCAGAAGATGAGGGCTGAGCCAGAGGCTGGGGAGGGGTGTTGGGAGGGGCAAACCTAAGCTTCCTCCTGCAACAGGCCTTTCTCTGCCTGGGCTGAGAGGTGCAGGTGGGGGTTGGGACTCTGGCTGGGGACTGAGTTACTCCCAGCAGACTCACCCCTGGTGTTCTGGGGTCCATCTTCCAACAGAATCAGCAGGACACACAGCGCTGGAACAGAGAGATGGAGGGTCAGGGGGGACACAGAACAGGGAATGGAGCCTGAGGGTGACACATCTGAGGGAAGGGGTTGCTGACCCCTCCCAGGCTCAGGCTCTGTCCATTACTCAAGGAGAGAGTGGGCAGGTGGCACCTCCCTGGCCTCCAATGCCCATGGCCAGAGGGTCTGCACCCATCGCCTGACGGTGGCTTTCAGGAACTGAAGGATGGGGAGGGGCCTGAGCCTGGCAGGGGTCTTGGCTTCTGCTGACCTGTGAGCAGCAGTTCAGGGAACATACTGGAGCCAACTGGCCTTGGTTCTACTCCCAGACCTTGGTCAGGTGCCTCAGTCCCTCAGTTTCCCCTTCTGTAGAATGGGGATGAAGAGGGGGCCCATTTCCTAGAGTGTGAGGGTTAAGCAGACAAGTACTGCCTGGTGTGTCAAAGTGCTTACTGCTCTCATTTCTTTATGTAAAAATGAAGGGGTTGGGCCAGGTGTCCTCTCAGATCTCCCAAATCTAAGGTGCTCCGGCCCACACCCTTCCTCAGGGACACAGGTGCAAGCACACTGCACCCACATCTGTCCACCACAATGACCAGCTTGGGACCCAGTGGTGACATTTCACATCCTGGCTCCCTGCACACAGGAAGATGCTGGGGGCTCATGTTAGGGGTGGTGCTGCATGGGCCCCCCAATCTTGCTCTGGCTGCTGCTCAGGTGCACCCCATCCCAAGGCATGTCCTGGGGTTCTTCTTAAGTCAGCAGGGGGTCTAGAGATGAGGACCTGTTTATCAGAGAGACAGATAAGGAGACGGAGTTGGAGAGAAAATAAAGAAGAGGAAAGAGAGAGAGAGAGAGAGAGAGAGAGAGAGAGAGAGAGAGAGAAGACAGAGAAATGGAGAGAGAAACAGAGAGGCAGAGTTAAGAAGATAGTGATCTAGAGAGATGGACAGAGAAATACGGAACTCCTAGAAAGGAAGAGACACAGATGCCAGAGATTAGACAGAGAGACATGAGAGATAGAGAGATTGAGAGCCAGATAGAGAAACAGAAGGGGAAGAGAGGGAGGGAGGGCAGTCACTTGGGTAGCAGGTGAGGTATGGGGAGGGCTTGAGGGATCCATCCAGTTCCTGCAGCTCTAGAGATGCTGGGAAGGCAGCCCAGACCCAGATAATCCAGGGAGACCAGATGGGGGTAGCGGGTGGAGGCATGGGGGCCAGGGAGGCAGAGCAGGTGCGAGTCACTTCCTGGGCCAAATGAAGGGATAACTCATGGCTCCCAGTCCCCCATGGAGGGGCTCCCAGTCCCCATTGGAGGGGTTCCCCAGGGGGAATTTTGGGGGTCGGTCATTGTGAGCACAACTTGAGGAGCTGTGGAGGGTGCAGACTAGAGGGCCCCCTGAGCACTCAGTCCCAATGCCCAAACTTGATACCCTCAGGCCAGCAGAGGGCAAAGACCCCCACACCCTCCGGAGGCCCTCGCAGATGCGGTGAACAGGCTAGAACTCCTGTCTTCCTCCTCTCTGGCCACAGGGTTTGGTTAGTTCTTCCTTCGGTGGAAACCCGCTTCCTCTTTGTAGGACAGACCACAAAGTGACCTTCCCTGGCAGCGTGGGCCCTGGGCCGATTTGTAGCACAGTCCATGCTCTCAGCTGCTGAAGGAGACAGAGGATGTTTAGGGGTGGGCAAACTTTTTGACTCGAGGGCCACAAAGGGTTCTTAAACTGGACCGGAGGGCCGGAACAAAAGCATGGATGGAGTGTTTGTATGAACTAATATAAATTCAAAGTAAACATCATTACATAAAAGGGTACGGTCTTTTTTTTTTTTTAGTTTTATTCATTTCAAACGGGCCGGATCCGGCCTGCGGGCCATAGTTTGCCCACGGCTGGTAGGTCCACTCTACAGAGGGATAAACTGACGCTCAGAGCCCAGAAAAGGCTTATGGAGACACTGGTGAAGAGGGGGCTGGGGAAGATGGAAGTGAGGGGTCAAGTTCCCCAGACCCTGCAGGGAGAGGGTTCTCTGTGCTGAGCTGGGCTCTCCTGCCCCACCACAGAGGCTGCTGGGCCAGACCTCCACCTGGGGCCCAGGAAGCCACCCAAACAGGAGCCTGGAGAGGGGTGGCTGGTTGCTGCTCCCAGTCCCATCTGGTTTGCATTCCCCTAGCTGAGCTCTGGGCAGTCAGATTCCTGCCTGGGGCCCCTGTGGCAGGGGTGGGGCAGTCATTCTCTCTTTGCTCCTCCTGGTAAGGATCCCCCCCACCCCTGCAGTCCATACCCAGACCCACCAGTGAAATAATAATAATAGTAACATTAACAACAACAACAACAACACAACAATAATGTTACTTAATTCTCACTGTGAACCAGGACTCAACCCTTAACACAAGCCTGTAAAGTGGAGACAAGCCTTGCTCTGCCCCATTTCACAGACGTGGAAAGTGAGGGTCAGGAGCTCTGTGACTTGGCCCCTGACACATCGCCACCTTCAACTGTGCTCCAAACGGACTCAGCAAATTTACTAAAATTCATCTAATTGTAATCATGCAACAGGCAAATACATGCTATGTCAATTACACCTCACCTTGATAAAAAACACACAAAAAACAGCTCA